GTGGATATAGATTGAGTGAAAGGATTCAAAGGAGGAGAAGCTACTGAAAGGTGGTGGTAGAAGGATTTCATTACAGGTGAAAGTAATAATGCCGAGTAAGGGCAACTACCCCACCTCAGGCAGTGAGTAAGGGGGAAGGTATGAAAGTACAAGTGCTGGATAGAAAGCATGGTTAGGGTGGTTGTATCACCAGGAGAGAACCCAGTTTTAGTCCAGAAGATGGAAGTAGCAGGAAAGGAAAATATTTTAGATGAAATCAAATTTGTTACCTATGGAGCAGATATTCCAGAGAGCATAGTAGAAGATGCGAATAGCTTTAGAGTGGGACAATGAAGGGAATGAATTAGAGCAAGTCACTTTACCTCTGAACAGTTTCCTCATCTGAAAGATGAAGGGATTGGATTAAATAATCTCTAAAGTCCTTTCTAGCTATGACTCTAATCACTTCTTTCCATTACCCCAGCTCAAAATTTGATTACCAACTACAACTTGGGGACAAAGTAACACCCTACTAAAATGACTTGGTATGCTCCTACATGGATGTCAAAGGATGAACTTAAAAAAACAAGTTCCTTCTTGCCACAGGACCTCTGGTCTTGAAAGAAAAAATGAATCATCACTTGGAAATTAAAAAAAAATTATCCCTGCATAGTTAACTATGCTTAGATTCAGGTGCATACTTTTACTTGGCCTAAGTTGTCATGATACTCCACCTTTGGGAAGGAATCCAGAAGCTTTTTCTATAATAAATGTGAAACAGAAGGCAAGTCAGAGCCTGCCTTTATGTAAAGTTAAGTTATTCTTGTTTATCTGCTTCTTTCTGCATATGGAAGGCAATGCCTGCAAGTTAGTTATTTGATCCTCACATAGCATCAGAAGGAACTTCTAGAAGATGGGGCAGTGAAGGGCATATCTTTCTGTTCCTCTCATCTCCTAATGGAACTTCAAGGAGAAGCGAAATAAATCTTTACACACAATTGACTCCACTAATGCAAAATACTTACTTTCTTCAATATTGATAGCCTTTTTTTTAATCAAAAAAAAAAAATTCTAAACTAAGACACTCCCAAAAAGGACATTTCCATACACAAAGCAGCACACAAAAAGATGACACTAGGTGGAACTATGAATCTCTATTTCATATAACTTGCTCTTTTTAAAAGTATATATAAAAAATTCAATGGCAGCGAGGTGTCGCAGTGGGATGGAGTGCCTGCCCTGGAGTCAGGAAGACACATCTACATGAGTTCAAATCCAGCCTCAGACATATACTAGCTGTGTGACTTTGGGCAAATCACTTAATCCCGTTTGCCTCAGTTCCTCCTCTGTAAAATGAGCTGGAGAAGGCAATGGCAAATCACTCTAATATTCTTGTCAAGAAAACTCCAAATGGGGTCATGAAGAGTAGTACACAACTGAACAACAATAATAAATTCCACATATTACTTTCAAAACTGTCCTCCTTTGTGCTTTTTTCTGAATTTTTTTCTGCATAGTGACAATGTCCAAAAATGTATGTTTACACCTTTCGTCCATCACCTGTCAGCATGTGGGTAACACAATACATCATCACTGGTCCTCCAGAGACATGGTTAGCTATTGTTTTTGATCAGAGTTATTAAGTTTGTCAGGTTCTGTTTTGTTTTGAACAATGTTGCTGTCCTTGTATAAATTGTTCTCTGATGCTGTAAGTTTATACTACCTGGGCATCTCTGAAAACATCTCATAATTTCTTATGGCTCAAAAATATTTTACATTCACAAACCATAATTCGTTCCGCCATTCCCATATTGTCTAAGAGGCAATATGAAGGAGTGGTGTCAAGCTCAAATAAAGACAAAAAGTCACTAAATTGTACATAAGGATTCCTGTGGGCCACATACTAGCTTAGAAAACCACATATTAACAGTAATTTTTTTTTGTACTTTTCTTTATTTTGTTAAATATTTCCCAATTACATTTTAATCTGGTTCAGGCTACATGAGTGTTGTGGAACATGTGTCTGACACCTTTGATCTAAGTTATCTAATTAGATTCTAGTTCTTTGCTTTTCTTCTCCCCCTCCTTTTAATGTCCCTTTCAAGATCTGGAAGTTTGCTTTGTTTGTAACTATCCCCTTCCTCATATTATCTTCCTTCTTAATCCCAAACTGTCCCTATCCTTGTTTCTTGTTGAATTTGATGTATTTTAATGCCAAAATGTCTGTGTTCAACCTTAATTTGTCCATTTCCAATAAGGGTGAGGTTAATCTGATGCCCATCCCCCTGCTCTATTCTCCATGTTTTTATTCTCTTCCTCACGCACACTCAATTATAAGAAATAGCAAGCTACATAACCTTTTATTTTTTTCTCACACTAGTGTAATTCCTGTTAACGCTCCCTTTTCTTTCCCCCTTTAAAATCCTCAGAACAGAAGCAATTCATACTCAAGACCTCTTTCTTATTTAATTTCCCCAATACTCTTCAAAACCATTAAGGTTGTGAAAAGGCATTTGTTTCTTTTCCTACTAGAATATTAGTACAGGTCTACATCATCAAACAGCCCTTTCCAATTGCTCAAATAAATTTAACTTTCTAGATTTCTCATGATTCATTTTTATATTTCAAAGCTCCTATTTCGTTCTAATCTTTTCATCAGAAATTCATAAAGGTCCTCTACTGAATTAAAGGCACATTTTTTCCCCTGTATGATTATGCTCAGCTTTGCAAGGTAAGTTGTTTTTGGCTGTAAAGCTGTATCTTTTGTATTTTGGAATGTTGTATTCTAAGATCTTCTCTCATTTATAGTGAAATGTGCCAGGTCTTGTATGATCCTGATTGTAATTACTTGATAGTTGAAATGATTTTGCCTGGATGCTTGCAGTAATTTTTCTTTGATTTAAGAGCTCTGGATATTGGCTGTGACATTTCTAGGACTTTTCCCTTTGAAGTTCCTTTCAGAGGAGATTTGGTGGGAATCGTCCTTCATTGTGTCCTCTGGTTATAAGAGAACTAGGCAGTTTTCATTTATATTTTCTTGAAATATAGAAGCCAGGCTTAAAAAAAAAAACTCATGGTTTTCAGAGAATCTAATGATTGTTAAAGCAGCTACCTGCTTTCCAAGGTAGTTTTTCATATTAAATATAATTTCCTATTTTTACAATCTTTTGATTTTGTTGCAATATTTCTTCAAGTTTCATGGAGTCATTGCTTTCTGTTTGTTTTATTCTAGTTTTCAGGGGGTCCACTTTTAGGGCAAAGTTGACCACTTTCCCTTCTAAGTTACTCATTCTCCTTTCAATTCCTTCTTCCAGGGCTTTTACTTCATTTTTTACCTCATGCTTTAACTCCTTATACTCATGTACTTATGTAGGCCCTTGTGGAATATACATTTTTCCCCCTTGAGTCTCTCCTTACAATTGTTTCAGAGTTAGATTTGCAATAATTTTTGATACTAGTCAGTTTTCTTTGTTTTACTTATCTTTAACTCCTGATTTAAGGCTTTATGCTAGGTCCAGACTCCACCTCTTACTGTATTTTCGGGTGGGATGGTCAGATCCATTTGATGTCATCCTGGGTCCTTGTACTGAGCTATACCTCCTGGGCTTGGTACCTCTCTCTGCAGATCTTTAAGTTTCAGGAGGCAGGACCATCACTGTTCTGTCATCTCACGACACAGTATTAGGTACCCCAAAGCTCCTAGTGCTGGGCTGCCCTGGTCTCAAGGTTGTGGCACCCTCCTGGTCACTAGTCTCTGCCTGCTGCTACTCTCTGGGACTCCTAAGGTGTCCACTCTGGGGCTTTCTCAGGGCAGCCTTCCACTTTTGCTGCTTCTTCACATAAGAGTTCTTCTGGCTCCACACGCTCCATCTCTGATGTGCTAGGGCTCGCTTTGCTTGAGGGGCCCCCTTTCCTATTACCTGGGGGCTTCTGGCTAACTCTTTGTGCAGGTCTATAATGGAAGAGATCACTTACAATAGTTTTTCATAGGCTTTTTAAAGCATTATTTGGCACAATTTTGGCATGAAGTCCCTTGATAACTGGGACAGAGGTTATCTTTGTGTATTAAGTAGGCATGATCACACAGTAGAAAGAACATACGGTGATTTGAATCCCAATTCTGCTGTAAACTAGTTTGGTTAAGTCACAAGTTTCCTAAGCCTTATTATTATTCTCATCTGCAAAAGGGGGAAAAACTCATGCCACTTACATCACAGGGATATTGTGAGGATCAGGAGGGCATGTCAAGGGAGGTGACAGTCAAAGACCAACAGCTTTAAAAAAGTAAAGCTACATAAATATAATTATTAGTGAACCCACAACCATCAGCATTTCCATATGTTATCAACAAAATCATCATGAAAAAATAAGAAAGATATTCAAGTAAATAACTATTGAATATATCTAGAAGTCTAACTGCCAACAGAAAGAAAAGAAACACAACTACAAAATACCCTTTACAGAAGTAAAGACAGAGTCAAATGGAGAAATATTAATTGTTCATGGATAAGCTGAGCAAATACAAACAGCAACACTAACTAAATTAATTTATTTATTCAGTGCCATACCAATCCAACAACCAAAACATTATTTTATAGAGCAAGAAAAAAATAATAAAACTCAGCTGGAAAAACAAAAAGGTCAAGAATCTTAGGAGAAATAATGAAAAAAAGTGGGATGTAACTAGGAGTATCAGATATCAAACTATACTACAAAATAGTAACCATCAAAAAGATATGGTACAGTTAAAAAACAGAGAGGTCAATCAGTGGAGCATATTAGATAAACAATATATGTAAGCATATAAACACAGTAGTCTAGAATTCAAGAAATTTTTAAAAATACATATACTTGTATAAGAACTCACTCTATGTCAAAAACTATTGGGAAAACTAGAAAGTAATCTGGCAGAAATTAGGCATAGACCAACATGTCACACCATATGCTAAGATGAGTTACAAATTGATACAAGACTTAGACATAAAAGGTAGTAACACAAATTAGACGAGCAAGGAAATTACCTTTCAGATCTTTGCATAAGGAAAGATTTCATGTCCAAACACAGACTAGAAGAGACCAGAAGAGGCAGAGTCAAGATGGTGGAGTGATAGAAAGTACTTGGTGGGCTCCCCTCCACGCACTCTTCTAAACAGATCCAAAAAAAACACCAAACAGAATCCTAATGGGGAAATCCAGAAAAAGTCACAATGAATCATTAGTCTAGCCCTGCTGGACATAAGGAGACACAGAGGGAGGTCAACAGACACTGGGATGGGGTTAGGCCAAAAGCATGCTCCAGGACAGCACTCCAGCACCCAGAGAGAGGATGTACACTGGAAGAAGGAATACTCCCAGACCTATACCAGGGCACTGAAATATAGAGAGCTGTGAAGTAGCAGCTGTGCTGCCCACAACCCATTTTATATATATGTATATATTTATTTATATATATATACATATATGTAAAACCTAGACAATTAACTTTTGGTCCTATAGAGTTTTCATTTATGATTTCTTGAAATACAGCACTGGAAAAACAGGGCTAAAAAAAAGTCCATTGTATTTCAAATGGAGCTATTTGACTATGCCTTAAAACTCAAATCCCTCTGGTTTTCATTTAATGGGTAATAATAGTCCCCATGCCGATGTGGCTCAGTTTAGATTTTGACAGCTTAGAATGAGTGTAAATAGCAAATGTTTTCTTACCGAGCCCTTAATCATTGAATAGGCCTTGCCTTGGACAAGCTGAGACCTGGGAAAGACCTTAATTTAGAAAGGCCAAGGTCACTCACTGCATCCTGGGCCACCACCAGTCGTCTTGACTTTTGTCTTGCCACTGGACTTCCATGACTCTGGAAGAGAAAGTGAGGCTGATGACTGTGTAGCTCCATCTCACTTAAATCCAATTAACAATACCCTTGTGATGTCTTTGGTCTTCTTTGAGAAGAATAACAACAAAGGGTTTATAAATGAAGAAACTGGTGACCAGAGAGGTTAAGTGATTTGCCCAGGGTCTACAGTATCTGAGACACGGTATAAATTCAGGTCCCCCTTACTCCAAAGTTAGTTCCCTGCCAGCTAAACTGGACTGCTAGCAGCTGTTCCTCCTCCAGTCTCTACTCAGATTTCTCATCTTTTTCTTCAAGACCAGGGATCAGCAAACTAAAGACCTGGGGGCCAAGTCAGGCTACTGTGTCTGTACAGCCCAAGGGCTAAGAATAGTTATGTTTTTAAATTAATTTAAATCAAATTTTTTACTTTAAATTTTATATGTTTGATTTTAAAATGTAAAAACCATTCTTATGTCATTCCTCAATTGATAAATGGGATATCAACAGGCATTTTCAGACAAAGTAATCAAAGCTATCTATAATCACATGGAAAAATGCTCTAAATCACTACTGATTAAAGAAATGCAAATTAAAACAACTCTGAGCTACCACCCCTTACCTATCAAAATGGCTTATATGACAGAAAAGGAAAATGACAAATGTTGGAAGGGGACTGTGGGAAAATTGAGACACTAATGCATTGTTGGTGAAGTTGTATACTGATTCGACTATTCTGTAGAATAATTTGGAACTACACCCAAAGGATTATTAAATCATGTATTTAATCAAGCAATACTACTACTAGGTCTGTATTCCAAAGAGATAAAAAACAAAAAGGAAAAGGACTTACATGTATAAAAATTTTTACAATAGCTGTTTTAGTGATGGTAAAGAACTGGAAATTGAGGGGATGTCCATCAATTGGGGAAATACTAAACAACTTGTTGTGTATGATTGTGATGGAATATTATTGTGCTCTAAGAAATGATGAGCAGGATGCTCTCAGAAAAACCTGGACTTACATGAACTGATGCAAAGTGAAATGAGCAGAACCGGGAGAACATTGTCCATAGTAATAGCAATATTGTAAGATGATCAAATGTGAATGACTTAGCTATTCTCAGCAATACTATGATCCAAGACAATTCTGAAGGACTTATAATGAAAAATGCTATCCATCTCCACAGAAAGAACTGATGAAGTCTGAATGCAGATTGAAGCCTATTTTTTTCTTTATTTTTACTGGGGTTTTTTTGGTCTATGTTTTCTCTCTCAACATGACTAACATGGAAATACGCTTTATATGACTGCACGTATTTTTTTAAAAAAATCATTTGCAGCCCATGTGCCAGACAAAAACAGTGGCCAGATTTGATCCTAAGGTCATAGTTTGCAAACAACTATTCAAGGCCCAGACTGAATGCTACTTATGAAGCTTTTTCATCTTTCTCCACACTACACCACAACCACCCCCTTCCATAGTTGATAATGCTTTCTCCCTCTCCAAATTACGTAGTATTCTGTTATCTGTAAGTATGCTGTTTCCCCTAGTAGAAAATAAGCTCCTTAAAGACAGGGATTGGTTTTCCTTTTGCCTTTATGTCATCAACTCCTAGCACATTGCCTAGCAAATTGTAGATACTCAGTAAACTTCTTTAACCAAATCAAAGGTTCATGAAGTTCTTTTATTCATAAATACTTGTAAGGTAGGTAGTGTATAATATTTTCCCTATTCTTGTATGAGAAAATTGAGGCCTAGAGAGTTTGCCCAAGGCCATAGAGCTAATAATTGTTGGGGGAAAAGAGTTGTGAACCAGGTTTTTTGAGTTCAAATCAAGGAGTCTTCAATATACCATGCCGTAAAACACGGAGATTTGACTAGGGGAACTCTAAGGCCGCACCCAGCTATAAAACTCTGATTCTAAAGAACAAATGTTAGTTGCCCCCCTGCCCTGACCCCAATAATATAAAGTGATCTAAAATCTCAACCTCAGGCTATAAAAACAATTCTCTTAGGTACCTACCTGCTCTTGTCCTGCCTAGTACTAGAAGACCTGGCAACCATGTTGGCTAGCGGTTTTTCTGTAGTTGGTAAGCACAATGCACCATTTTTCACAGGAAGGTGGAGAAAGCTAGATTTATTGGATTTTAAGAAAAACCATCACAATACTTTACCAATTCTTCAGTATTTAAATAGATGCATAATATTAGATTGAAGTATTTCCTCCAACAATACAAATTATAATCTAAAAATGTTTTTTCCATCTCTTCACCCTAAATTTAAAGCCCAGAACTCCAAACACTTTCTCTTTCTGCCACACAGACACAGATTTGAAAGGTATCAAAGTACATGAGATAAGAATTTTATTAAAGCTGAATTTTAATGAAAATTTAGAATACATCTTTTTTTTTGCACTACTTCCTCTCACTCTCAAACTTGGGGTGCTTCAACTACATCATTATCATGATGCTACTAAAAAAGAAAAAAGGGAAGATTCCAAGGAAAAATGAATTTAAAAAGTTCTAAACCACTTGATTTTTATTTAACTAAAACCTATTAGAAAAAATAACCAATCACCAAGCATTTATTAAATGCTTACTATGTACCAATCTGTTAGATTCTGGAAGGAAGATGACAAAAATATCTTATCTCCAGGAACTTACAATTTATGGGGCAGAAATATACATATCTAAGCAAATAAAAAATTTATAATACAAAACAGCCAATAGTAATGGTAGGGATCAGGAAAAGCTTTAAAGGAATACTGCATTCTGAGAGGCTCAGGTGAAGAAGGGGTGGATTCTAAGCATGGGAGACAGTCTGTGCAAAGGAAGATGAGATGGAATCTCACATAATGCACAGAACAAAGTATAAATAGGCCAGTTAGGTTTGAATGTAGAATCCAGGGAGAATAATGTGTAATAAGCCTGGAAAGGTAGACTGCAGCTGGGTTAAAAAGGGCTATACAAGAGAGAGGAGAGTATATTATTAAAACAAGAGGGAAGGCCTTTTTGAAGAGGGGAATGGCATTTGCTTAAGTTATTTTGGAACAATGTTGAGGACGGAAAGGAGAGAGGGGAGATTTGAGGCAAGAAGTCAAATTATTGCAATAGTCCAGATGAGAGGTTTTGAAGGCTTGAAAACTAGGGTGGTGGTCATGGGAGTGAAATGAAAAGATGTCAAAGGTATCGGGAGGGAGAGGGAGAAGGAGGAATAAGAACTGACCAGACTTGGCAAATAACTGGATACAGAGCATGAGAAAGTGTTATGGGTAAGTGATCCCACAACTGTTCAATAAATAACTTTATGAAGCACTTACTATGTGTCTGGTACTGTGCGGTTGCTAGGGAAACAAAGGCAAAAATGACACATCCCCTGCTCTTAAGGGGGTTCCATTCGATTGTGACTACAAGGTTATTAAGACTGGGTATGGGCACAGCAAGGGGTGCCCTCCACAGAACTAAGAAAGATCAGGAGGAGGAGGTGTGGAGGGAGGTAGGGAGGGGGAAGAGATATATGAGTTATGTTTTAGATAGGCTAAGTCGTGATGCTTATATGACCACGATGGGAAATATTAAATTGGCAGCTGATGATATGAGACTAGAGCTCAGGAGAAAGACTGGGGCTGTGTGTGTGTGTATATATATATATATATATATATTTTATATATATATATAATATATATATATAAGTTCTGGAAATCATCTGTGTGAAGATATTAATTAAACCTATGGGAGCTGATGAGATCAATGGAGAGAGGATGTAAAGAGAGATGAGAGCCCAGGGGGAAGTCCTGAGGTAGTGGGGACAAAAACGATGAAAACAAAAAAGAAAAGCTGACATGTATATAAATGTGTGTATACACATACATAACCTCCCCTCCCCCTACACACACACACTCTCTCTCTCCCTCTCTCTCTCTCTCACACACACACACACACACACACACCAACTGATAATCTATTTAGAGGTTATTTAACAGATCAGTTTCTTACTTTACTTGGTCTAGGGCCTATAGTAATTATATTTATCTCAATGTCTATTGGTTCAAATGCAAAGAGGAAAAGAGAATAAATACCACCTACTGCTAGTTTTCCTGAGCTGCAAGTACAGAAACCTATACAAATAAATAAAAATGGGCATCAAAAAACACATTCTTGATTCACATCACCCTCTTCTCTGCTTTAAATCTTAAAAAAAAAATCTCTGCTGAGGCCAGACAATCCTAAATGGACCATAGAACCATGAAGTAGAGTTGGAAAGACTTTAGCTTCATGAGGCCCACTCCTGGCAAGTTAACAGGCTGGGGACCACAAAGGGCAAGAGTCAGGAGACCCAGCCATGTGCAGCTGATTTTAGCTTCTCTGCAGGAAGTGCAGTAAATGAATTTTAGATTAGCAACAACATTCATGAAAAGGAAACCACCTCTGTCGCTACATATGGCTAAGCGTATGTGCTAACCAAAGCATGGATACTTGGAGGAGAGCAAGATAAGAAAAGGCTGACAATTATTTCAAAGCTGGTGCCTGAGGACAGAGAGAAGAGACTAAACAAAAAGAAATGGCACAATTGAATTAAGCAACAAAATGATTAGTTTAAGCACATCCTATAAAGTGTCACAAAGTTTTTGATAAGAGAACAAATCAAAATAAACATGCAGCCCTTCAATGATCTGATATTTTAGTGAAACATTAAAAACAAAACAAATGATAAAATGCGAAATGGGCTTGGCTCCTACTCTAGCTGCTGCTGTTGCTTAGCCATATTTGTATTCACCCTCATCACCCCACACCACCACAATTTATTTTACTTTTCCAAAAAAGATTTTGAAGCCACTATTAACCATTAAAATACTAACTTGTGGTTGTAATCTAGCAAATCTTGCAGCAGAGTCTCTGATGAAAAACAGTTGCCATAACAGTATTCCCATAGCAACCCCCAAGGGACTAGTGCTGGCTCTCACACTTTGGACAGCTGGAAATTCTTATAGAAATATGCCGTGAGAAAGTATTTTTCAGTTTCAAGAATCCTAATATGGTGCCATTCCACAAATTTCTATGGGATAAAGTTATTCTGTCATGGGACTCGCTCAACCGGGACAAGTATGTTGGGGGGTGGGGCAGACAGAGAGAAGGAAAAGGTTGCTCAGAGGAGAGGCGTAGGCCACTATGTATTTATTTAAAGATTACCCAAGGGATCACAGCACCCCCATTAACAGGCTACTTTCACAGAAACAGCTCTACTTCCTTTACTATCACCAAAAAGCTTGTGTAGGAGTAAAATTATGGTGATAAGAATCCAAGAACTCAAATCTACTCATGAAAGTCACTGAAGAACTATTCCAATAATTCCCAGGATGTTTACTTTCAGTATAAATTATCACTTTGTTCTACAAGAAATAACAGTATTCTTTGATCATTTTTTCAGTTCAAAACCAAGGTCAACCTAAAGAGCTAGAGTAGATCAGAAAGCCACTAGAAAGGAAAGGCTTACAAATAAAAGTAAGTTGTGCTGATATAAATTACATTTCCTCTTCCACACAAATCTTTCTAGGAGTTCACAGTGCACAGCAAATCATCAAGATTTATTATTAATGACAGCTGCCTTCCTCGGTTTGTTTTCTCAAGACTCTCTTCTGCCTTCCTGAAAGATCTGGACTGTCCTTTGTCACCAACATTCAACTTTTTTTTTTCGTGGCTAAGACTTGTTTTCTTAATTTTTCCCCAAAGATTGAAATCATTAACATTATTTCTAGACTGCCTTCTGTTTAGTGTTTTCATTTAGGTTCCAATGAACCCTATTCCATCACTGAGCCTGGCAGGGATACTCTCAGGAAGTCCTACAGATTACTTTTAAAACAACAGAACTATTTTCCTAATTGGAATAAAAAGGGACAACTAGCACATTTCTCTCTAAAAAAGGGGGAAAGTACATGCCTGCCAATTATGTTCAATACTTTATGGTAGCTATGCAGTGGCTCATCTGGATCCCTATCTAGAATGTTCTCCCTCTCCTTCTTTACCTGCTGAATTCCTATCTATCCTTGAAAGATCAAGTCAAATGATATATTCTTCAAGAAATCTCACTTTATTCCTTCTATAAAAACCAACCTTTTTTGGGCAAACCCACTTATTACCTTCTTTTGCTCTTCGAATGTCCTTATGTCATATTTTGTATCATAGGTACCCACTAAGAGACTGCACACAGGGTAGGGACATATCTTTTCTAAACCTATCTTCCCCAGTATGATACATAGTTTCTTTACCTGTATAAAGGTACTTCATAAGCATTTACTGATCTATATATTAAAGTTATTGCCAATTCTCTTCAAGTGTTTAGAACAAGAGTCCTTAACAAGAGTTTAGAATAAGAGTCCCTTTTTTTGAAATACGTTTTTGTAACTATATTTCAATATAATTGGTTTTCTTTGTAATCTTATTTTATTTCATGCATTTAATAACAACCTTTGGAGAGAGTTTGTGTGTCCTCCTCCCTACCCCTCCCACTCCTGCCCCAGATTTCCAAAGGAGTCCATGACACAAAGAAGGTTAAGAACTCTTGGCCAGAGTTAATCCATACAAATATGTGTGCCTGCATTCAAGCATTTAGGCTTCTCTAATTCCCAATAAAACCTCTTTTCTCCTCACTTCTAAGTTAAATGAATGTGGAGCCAGTTATGACCAAGTGCCTATGGCCCTTCATACCACAACCATTAAGGAGCCAGCAATGGCTTATGAAAGTACCTTGACAATCCTCACCTAGTTAATTAATGACATCCTATTTAAAGACAATCCTCACCTAGTTAATTAATGACATCCCAATCCACTAAACTAACCAATTCTTCTCTTTCTTCTACATTCAGCGATATATCATACTCCATACAATGACTGGACAGCACTGTCCCTTGGGGGAGTAACCTGTGCACAGGGAGAAATAAGAGCAAGTACTTACTTATCTGATAATTTGGAAGTAGGAAATACTGTCATCAAGTGAACACTCATGGTAACAAAAGCACCATCTGCTGTGCACTCTGCTACTTGGTAGAACGTGGCAAAAAGTCACAAGTATGTGACTAATTCACAGTGTGTGGCAAGATTCTAGACAACCTCATCACTCTTTCGGCTGTGATATTCTGGCTGTGATATTCTATTTCCCATAGGGAACCTTTTAATTCATAATCTCATATGTAGAGATTACTAAATTTCTTTAGAAATTTGCATAGTAAAGATACACCTTAATTTTTAAAATATTCATTTCCTGATTATTTCAGCTTCTCTATAAACCCAAGAAAAATCTGAAAAACAAGATCAGAAACCAAAGAAAAACAAATGAGCCACAAAATTAATAATCAAAACCTCTAATGGAAGTCAGAAAAAAAAATCAGACACATTTAAGAAATTCAAATGTAACCAAGGGATATTGTATTTTTTGGGTAGCTGTTGAAGAAGAAAAGCTTTTCTCTATAAAATCAATATAATTATAACATGAATATTATAATATCTTACAGAAATAATTACAAGTCAACCACAAATGTTTTCCTCTAATTATTTACCAACAACTTCCACACCTAATAGGAAAATGTCCAATAGGAATCCCTCGAGGATTGCTATGTCCGTAAAGCATCAGGAAATAGGCCGTGGTGCTTGACTCAGACTGTTGAAAATCAAAACATGATTCAACAATCAACAGTCTGCTGTCATATTTGATGCAAGAACCAAAAAGAGTTTTCTAAAAAAACAAAGAAATGAATTTGGTAGAAAACAGCTGCTCCCAAAATTTGATTCTTTCTCTCTCCTCCATTCCTGGTAGCAGTTCCCCAACAGGCCACAGGTCTTAAGTTTCTTATTGCTCGATAGCCCTATAGAGAAGAGTTGTCATAGTGCATTGTACTCCACGCATTTTGATGGGTCTGTTGAGAAGTGCTTCTGACAAATGGTCATTAATCTTTTCAAACCCTAGGAAAATAAAAAGAAAATGGTAAAAATAAAAATACTTTAAAAAATTTACATACTCATCATAACAGTGATAATATGATGCTCTGAAGGAAAATCAACTCTACAATTTAAGCCCTGTCTTCAAGTTCTATTTAGATGCCTCATGGTGTGATGGTGACTGGGCTCTAAAAGGCTACACTAACAAAGCAAAAACCCTGGGGTCCTACCCAAGCTGGAAAGGCTTCAAACAAGAGCCCAGCAATGGACTGATTTTTGTGTGTTGCTCAAGGACAACAAAGCCTAGCTCTATTTACAGAGACTTATCATGTAAGAATGCATTTTTCCTGCCAAGGAAATTTTCTGCTAAGATGTATATAGCAGGTTTGTAATCTGCACTGATGGTACCCATACAGATCCATGAAGTGCTAAGGTATAAATAAATTTCATATACTTCAAGTATTCCTGATTTCATGTTACTCAAACCTAAATGAGCTTCATGGCTATAATTATAAACAAAACAGAGCAACTGCTGGTTAACATGGATGGTACAGAGTGAGTTGTTAGTTTTTCAGCTGTGTCCAACTCTGCATAACCCCATTTGGGGTTTTCTTGGCAAAGATATTGGAGTGATTTGCTTACTCTAGCTCATTTTACAGGTGAGGAAACTGAGGCAAACAATTAAGTGACTTGCCCAGAGTCATATTAACTAGTAAGTGTCTGAGGCCAGATTTGAACTCATAAAGATGAATCTTCCTGACTCCAGACCCAGCATTCTATCCACTTGCCATGCAGAGTAAGTACTGACTGAATACAAACTAACTGAATCAGAGGTGAGAAAAGAAAAGATTTTCTAAAAATGTATGTATTCCTCATCCATAGTCCACTGATTTAAAAGGTACCAAAAACATCATCACTAAGGATCAGGCATTTGATGATTTTATCATCAAAATCAACTAATTATTTAAACTCTTAACCTTATTGAAAAACATAGGCACACAAATCTACCCAAAGGAATTTACATTTTTCCCTACACCACTACTAAACAGTTAAAAGTATAAGGCTTTTGTTATTGCTACATTAATCATTAAACTCCAGCTAGGATCTAGCAAGTTTAGAAAACCTGATGAACAAAATTTTCTAATTGTTACTGTGTGATTTCTAAGCCAATTTTGAAACAGCACATTTAGAGGTTTTGTTTAATTATCTTAATTAATTAATTGATCTTTAAAGATAGATTTTTCCCAAAGAAACAACTGAAAAAAAAAGGTTATTTAAACATGAAACAATATGCTTTACCCCCATTTCTCTTCTCCCTTTTGCTGCTCAGGTACTTGCTTTAAGATAAATAGCATTCCCTTCTCACAGCCCAGCTTGTCCTGAAGCGAAACTCTAATCCCATGTTTGCAAAATTGTGATCCGTAGCCATGGAAATGAATGTGATATCATTAATTTGGCAACTTAAATCCCCTGAAGGAATAGGTAAGAAGAGAGACATGGGGCTAAGAGAACACTCCTGATGAAAAATAAATAGCTTTAGTCAGCAGCAAAACATGACAAGAATTATTATGAGCAAATGAAAAGTAAATTGATGTAATTCTGCTGAATATAATTTTCATTCCATTTTAACAGTGGATTTCTAAGGGCTTATTCCATATGGGGAGGGGGATTTAAGCTAACTAAATGGACAATGATTTCAAAATATATACTCACATTTTGCCTGAAATTATCCTAATTCCCCAGAAATTGTAAAACTTTTGACAGTTTACGGCATAAATATCTACAACAAAATATTGCTATACCATTTTCAATATGGTTATATAGCACACAGTATAGATTTTCAAAGGCTCATAATCAAAGCACACAACGGACTTGTTAACCAAACGCAGGCCAATGTCTTAAATTGGACCAATCTACTCAGGTTTTGATTGCCACATGATCTGACAGCATTTCTTACTCAGCAAAAACAATGAGGTATGAGTTTATTAGCAGACATTTCCTTACATGTTTTTCACAAGAAGCTAAGTAATGGGGCTTATAATAAATACAAAGCAGCAAAAACTGGTGTCATCACTGTAAAATGTTAAACAGTATTAAAATTCTACAACACTATTTTTCTCAATTTTTTGCTTGTTAGAAGCATTACCAAAAGAATGGCACCACTTTGTTAACTATAAAAACCTTAAAATCTACAAACATACCAAATAAGATTTCACTCATTTCCATGAACAGTAGTAAATAAAACAGGTTATATATTATACTGGTTAATGGAAAGTTAGGGTTCATCTTTCACCAAACTATATATGCCCTGAAAAATAATCCTAAATATGTTCTGAAAACTAACTCTATTAACTCAAATCCAACTTTCTTTTGGAATTGTAAAAGAACAAACTTTTACTGAAACCAGGTTACAACCACTAGATTAGTCTGCCTTACCTTTCTTTAATCAAACTAACACTAGAGAATATAGCTTAAGGGAAGTATATTTTCCTGGAATCTAGGAATTGGAAAAGTTTTCAGAACACAATCCAAACCATACCAAATCCCCTAACACACTACTTGTAAGTGCTCATTCAGCCTATCTGCTTAAAGTACTCTAGGGAATTCCCCACATCCTAATACAAGCCTTTGCATTTTGAGTTAGCTCTTTTATTTAGCAAATGTATCCTCACCTTAATCTAAAATCTGTCTTCTTGCAATTTCCACCAACTACTTCCATTTCTACCCTCTGGGATCAACAATCACCCCCTTCCACAGGATCCACATAGCGAGATTTAAAGAGCAGTATTTCTAGAGAGGTCTTAATTCATGTATGCCTTCATGTATGCAGTCTTTTAATTTCCAGTTCCTTCATACGGCCCTCATATCACCATTTCACCATCCTGATCTCTATTCTCTTGACGTATTTCAGTTTGGCAATAATCTTCCCAAAGTATATGCTCTCATAAATGAACAAAATACTCCAAATATGGTTTGACCATGGGAAAGCACCTCAAGGCTATTACCTCCCTAATTCTGAAACCTACCTTCAATTAAGGCCTAAGATTATACTGACCTTTGGGGTTAGGACCCTGCCGTGTCAAGTTATTGACTCATACTGAGCTTGCAATCCACTAATACCCCTATGTATCTTTCATACATATTATCATCTAGCCATACTACCCCATCTTGTATATGGGCAACTTTTATCTTAAAAAAACAAAAGTGGGTCTTTACATTTATCTTTACTCAAGTCAAAATTTCTAGCCTGTTGACGTTTTTAAATGCTGTCTTTCAACATTTTAACTTATCCCTCCCTCTAAGCTTCATGTCACCTGCCAGTTTAACTAACGTACCGTTCATGCTTTTGTCCAAATCACTGATAAAAAAAAAAGTGAAAAGAAAAAGGTGAAGGACAGAGTCCTGGGGCACTCCACCAGAAATATCCTTCTGCATCAGAAGTTGTTAACCTTTTTTATGTCATTGCCCCTTCAGCAGTCTGGTGAAGCTCAAGGACCCCTTCTCAGCATAATGTGTTTAAGTGCATAAAATATATGAAACTACAAAGGAAACTTGTGGTTAATGAAAATAAAGATGTAATTTTTTTTCCTATCCAAATTCAAAGACCTACTGAAATCTATCCACAGACTCTCAAGTGGCATATAGCCTCCAAGTCGATAAGCCCTGTTCTAGGTTGATAACTAATCTTTTCATCACTACTCTGTCCAGCCATTCACCCATGAAAACAAAGACCTAACCATACTATCATCTAGTCCACACCTTTAATAGAATCCACAAGGATATTATAAAAGGCTCCATCAAATACCTTGCTGAATTCCAGGTATACTCATGGCTATGGAATTCCTGTGAGCTACCAGTATAGTTACCCTGGCAAGAATGAAAGAAGAATAGATGTAACCTATTCTTGTTGAAACCACTGTGGCTTTTAGTGATCATTTGCTTCCTTTTCAAAATGCTCACAAACTATTCCAGGAATCAGTCAGACTCATAGGACTAAAGTTTCAAGAATCTCTCTTCTTCCCTTTCATGAAAACAGGAGCCATGTTTGCCTCTCTCTGATCCTACAACACCTCTCTTCTTCTCCAAGATTTTTCAAGATTTTCTAGGACAACTGCTTATCAATCACATTGTCAGTTTTTTAAATTAATAATAAACTATTTCTTATTACTCTGCATCCCAAAATAAATCTAGCACTTCACAATACATTACTGAAGGTAAAAAACCAGAACCACTTAGCAGTATATCCTAACAACATGAAGAAGTCTTTAGTTGAATCACATACATCACAAGATTTTAATAAGCATTCAAAGCAATCTCAATAATAATAATAGCAACATTAAGACACAATACAGTTTACAACACCTTGCAACAACCTTGTGAGGTATTATTATTTTACAGATTGAAAAACTGTCAAATGACTTGCCCATGGTGATATAGCTAATGTTGATACTAGGCTCAAACCCAGGTTTGCAAATTCCAAATTCAATCGTCTTTCTACTTGGCTATGATGTCTCTTAAGAACTAGACTGAAAGAATGAGATGTAACTACTGATTCTCCCTCCATACTTCCACTTTAAGGAAATTAATCTACAATGTGATATTCACATATAAGTAATTCAGTGCAACAATTCAGGGTAATCTCTAAGATAACAAAAATGGTTAAGCTCACACCACAATTGCTGAACGTTTAAAAAAATTTTCTGACACTCAAACATTCATTCTTAACCTCAACATTAATTAGCCTAACATCATCTGCACAATCAATCAATCAGCAAACATTTATTAAGCAAGTACCACGTGCCAGGCACTGTGATAGGTGTTATGGAGGAGCTATGGATGCTCCTAGCATTAGCTTCAGGAAGTCTTTCAGCAGACTATATCACTAAAATCAAATTCTTCTGAATTAAAGCCATACTAGCATTTAATTGACAAAAATAACCATTCACGTAACTGCTATGAATATAAAAATCTCCTGGGGAGCCTGCAGATGCAGGTATTTCCACACAGCTGCAAGTGAAAAGGTC